ATGAATTGTACATTTTAACCAGCTGTTGTAAGACTGAAAGCTTACTGGTTGTCATTCATCTTCATATAAAACAAAGATACAAATTACTAAATAATTTTGAAGTGCTGTCTATATCTATGGACTCTGATGTATATAGTGGCCTTAGGATGTTTTTTTACATTCTTACTGCTTTAACTGCAAGAAATTCTAACAAAATTTGCATAAAATATGCAATTAACAGACAAAAAAAACTTACAATTGGAAAGTTTCATTGTATTTTGGTGACCAGGTGTTGCTCTTTGTCTTGGTTCCATGTTTTCTTTTCTTGTCACTTAGGTTAGGACCTAATATGCAAACTTCCACAAATGGCCGGAACATAGCTGTTGTTTGCCAGTTTAGGTTATTAATTGCTACAACTGTAAAGAAATAAAAGAAATGAAGTTAAATAAAATTCCATTGGAAGAGCTCCAACTAATTATCCAATATGACTTTGTATAGCCAATGAAAGGTGAGAGAGCTTTCTTATAGGATACCAATACCTGGCAAGCCTAGGAGGAGTTTTGTCTGTTCTCTGCCAAGTAAGTTGTCTGACTACTTTCAGTTACAACAGGAGCAAATATAAACATATATTTTACCAGTGCTTTACATTAACAGCTCTTTTGTCTGCTACCTTCACTGTAATTAAAAAATCAGCTTAAACTAATCTAAATGATACTGCTTTTCCTCTGGAATTCAGGTTGGGCAGAACAAAGGCATTTTGTTAAAAATGGAACTTTTTAAGTCTTGGTGCAGTCATTCACTACCCAGCTTTGCTACAGCTTTTGGAAAATTAAATTATATGCAAGCAGTTCAGAAGTCTAATTTGGCACATTTGAATTTATAAATCCATAACTTCATATACTAAATTTTAACTGTCTACGCAGAGAAGCACAGACATTACTTACCTGCATAATCTTAACTTCTGTTGATGTTGAGCAAGGAAAAAGTACGATCCTAATCGCCTGAAGCATACTCATAGCTTTGCAAGTACTATAATACTTAACATTTGTTATTTCATTATTGATATGTTTTACTTAGCATGTAGTGCTTGGGCTTTGTTGTTGCTTTCTTTTTAAAATCAGCTATTTGAAACTTACCTTTTACAGTGACTTTATGCTCCCCAGTTCCAGGATGTGTAGAGACATCCACTTGTATAGATATCTCACCCACTGAATTATTAGTGGTTTGACCTGAAATAATAATTAGTAGGTTATTACACTTGGCTTCCCAATACATCAAGAGAAATAGACAGTGAAAGAAGGTAAGCAATATTTTCTGTCAGAAACACTTAGAAATTTCTGAAATATATTTCACGTTTAAGTGGGAATCAGTTACAATTCATAAGTGATTTTGCCACAAAAGTACCTAGCAATTGCAAATGTCTGTGCCTCAGTAAAATAAAAAACCCCTTTCACCTGGAACCTTCCACTCTTGTTGTCAGTAGGTGTGTTTGCATCTTGAAATGCAGAAGTTAGTGGTTTTGTCAAACTTTGTTTGTATGTGCACCCCAAAAATCTTATTGCAAGTACACATTTGGAAAGTTATTTCTGTATTGTTATTGACAATAATTGAATCCTTTGCTGGGGATTATGTCTAAGCAAACTACTAAAGTTCTGCACTAGCACAGCCACAGGAGCTTAAAGAAAAAAGGGAAGGTTGTAGGGATGGCAGAGGAGCCAGGAACTTAATTTTGAAAGTTTTTATTTTTGAGCACCAGTGCAGGTTCTAAGTCAATTTGCACATAATGATTCCTTAAAAGGACTCTCAGTATGTATTGAAAGGTCCTTTAATATAACAGATTATAACAGTACAATATAAATAAAATTGGATATGTTTACTTGTTCTTTAATTGGATGACTGTGGACATTGAACTCTGTGAACTGTACACTTGCTCCCCAGTCTAATCTCTGTGAACCATATACTAAACCAAATTACTGGCTACTTTTATAACTGGCTTTATAACTGGCTACTGTTTCTGTGGGTTAGCAGAGGAAAGATTCTATCTTCTATTTATACAGACATTCCTTATCCAGTGGTTCCCCATCCATCTATATTTGAGGAGAAGCAAACATTCCTTTAGAAGTTTTCCAGCAGCTCATGTGGGAATTAAGGAAGGGGTACAGAGAAGAGGGGTGTCTTGTGTAATCATACTGGGGAAAATGATTTTTTTTTTTTTCCCCCTGAGTTAGTTTATACCCAGAATATTTTTTTTTTTTTTGCCTTATCATGCATAGTTTTTTCTGGATTTCACCATCAGTGGCTTCCTAGAAATGTGTTCTACAGTGATGTTTATTCGTTGCATTGTCGTGATCTGTAATTACATTCTCTGTACTGGTTGAACATTGCAAGGTCAATTAAACGCTCTTACCCCAAGCAATACTGCTTCAGAGAACAGGTTTTTTTCCTGATACATCAAAATGTGGAAATTCAGTGCTCAATTAACTTGTTCAGAATCCTTGAACACTGTTCTGCATTTTCCAACTTTCAGGTGAGTTTGGCTCGAAATTGTCATGAGTCCACTTTTGAATCGCAGTCAACAGTGTTTTAGCAAAGATACACAGTCTCAATATCTAAATCTGGTTATAGCTGCTACTTCTCAATCGCAGGGTACCTGTACAAGTTTTTCTGCTAGATGTATTTCAGTACCAGCCAGAGGGTTTGGACCACATGTAAATAGGCAATTTGTTAGACAGCAGATTTTTAATGACAAGAAGTTTAGTTTCAGTGGGAGCCATTAAACTGCTTGTTGGATTTGGATAATTACTTAAAGCTGCACTATACAGGATCTCTAATTAAGTTGCGGAATCATTCTACATCTTGTTCACAATAAATAAGACATAATTTTTTTTTAAGAATATGTATAAAGAGATAGGAATGAAACGGACTAGAAAAGCTAAATAAAATCAGTAGAACAGCTTTATTTAGAAGAGTAAAATAATGTATCATCTGACTGTACAGTAAAATTAGCTTTTATTTAGGAAGAGAAAGGAAATTCTCTTTTGGTCAAGGTCATAAAGTTAAAACTGATTTCCTTTTCTCTTGTAAACACAGTATCTTTAGACCATGTATCAGTGAGTAGCATAATATTGACACTGAGATTCTGCTGCTGGAAATAAAATTTGTTTATGAATTTAAAAAAAAATATTTGGAGTGCAAAGGGCTATGTAAAATTATTCTGTCCAGAAAATAAAGATTTTTAAAAAGGCCTTATTTTCATTATACGAAATGGTGGTGTTTTTAATGGAGTTACATTTAACCTAGTGTGCTGAATTGTATGAAAACACCTTCCCTTATATTTATATGGATTACTTAACTTGAATTAAATGAAGACAACACTTTTTTTTTTTACACCTAAAATTCAGAAGGCGGCTTATCTGGGCTAATACTCCAATACTATATATAATATATATTTATATGTAGGTTATTCTCATTAGCTTTCTGATGCTGTAAAGTAAATCAAAGAGAGTAGAGACTGGAGCTTCTAAAGCATTAATCTGTCTTTTTCTTTCATACTGTGAAATTCCATCTTTTCAAATTGTTACATACCGCATGGAATTCAACCTTAACAGGTTCTTTTTGTGGTGGTGGACCTTTTTATGAATGATGCTTTTGATTCCACATATAGCCATCTTTGGTTATGAAGTTTGAGTTGAACATACTGTAACTCTAAGTCATTAATCTTTTGTTCTGATTAAAAAGTTTTCATTGCTAAGCTGGACAGGAGAAGAGAACCAGGAATTTGCAACATCTAAATCATAGGGACACTGAATGGATAGGATAAACTGAATGTACTGAGAGAGAACATGAGAAGCTCTCAAACTCTCTCCCAATCAGAATTAATAATAGTTTACCACTGACTGCAATGGAAGGTGAGTCAGGCTGATCCTGAATATCAGCAAAAATATCAGCCAGTGTCAATTACTTGTTTTAGCCTTTAGCTTAAAAAGAAACCCAAAGCCAAAACCGCTTTAGGAGAAATCAGGAATGTTTTAAAAGAAAACAATTAGATAGCTTATGCAGCAACCTGTGGGTGATGGTAATAATGGAATGTGCTGTGTTAACCTGTAACAATGACACATTAGATCTTACCAAGACAAAATCTGTGAACCTACGAGATAAGTCCTGTTCTGTTTCTCCAACTTTTTTATTAACTATGCAAAATATATCCTTGCAAAGGTCTCCTAACTGATCTTTTTCTTTCCTTTTCCTAGTAGTCCATAATTTACAACAGTGCTAAGCAGTACCGGAAACATGTAGTGGGATTAGTCCTGTATGTATAGTACCATTTGATATGGTTATAAAAAATCTGTGTAAAATGTCACACAGTTTTATACCAAAAACAGCTGACATTAAAATGACCCTACATTTCACTATTGCTGAGGAAACTTCCTGCAGCAGAACATCTCAGCCAGCAGAGACAATTTCTAGTGGAGTCTAGAATATAAGCTTGGTTTCTTTCAGTTACCACCCCATCCATCTTGCATTTGCTTTCTCTCTCTCTCTCTGACCTGCTAAACAAACTACAGATGCAATTCTAGGACATTCAGTTTTGCTTGTAGCAGCTTTTGTTGACATTCGAGAACTATGGCACTTCATTTTAAAGTCTCTGATCTGTCTATTTCTGCTGTTTTGTTTTATTTCTTGCTATCAGTTCTTGT